TACTACACTGCTGTAAAAAAGAAGGAACACTTACCATTTGCAACAGCATAAATGGACCTAGGGAGCATAATGCTAAGGGAAATAAGGCAGAGAAAGAGAAATATCACATAATCTCACTCATTTGTGAAATATAATGTACAACATAAACTGATGTTGTACATTATAGTCTACAAATATCCAAGGATGGAAGGCAGGGGAGGGGAAGGAGTAAAAGATCAAAGGACTTGTATGCTTGCATATGAGCATAACCAGTGGGCATAGACAGTAAGGAGGTGAGGGCATGTGCTGGGGGGTAGGAGCAGCCAGGAAGAGGTCAATGAGGGTGAAAATAAACTTATGTAATAATTTAAACAATAAAGCATTAAAAAATGTCCCAAAGCAGAACTCTTGACCACGTCTCCCTGCCCTGCTTCCCTCCTCAGCCTCTCCTCAGGCACCTCAAGTCTGTGCCTCTCTCCCTGCTCCAAAGCACGGGTGAATGTTTGCAATAGGAAAGTCCTGTTTTCTGGGTTTAGAGAATAAAAGCAAGGACAAAAACCAAACCAAAACAATGAAACTGCTCTCTTGCCTCTCTCCAGCACTGCACTCTTTGGTCCAGTGCTTTCATGAGGCATCCTTTTGGGGCTTTTGTCTTTGGTCCAGATCCTTGGCAGCCAGCTGCCCTGTGGCTTTTCCTTTACACATTTGGATGTTCATGCATCGTGAAGGGACACAGCTTTGGTGCAACACAGCTTTCTCCTCACCCTCTTGGCCCCTGGCTGGCTGTCCCTCTCAAGCCCACTTCCCACTTCTTGCCTTCTCCAGTCGTCCTCTGCCCTTTCTTGTTGTAAATTGTCTCCTCAGCTGCCTCTGATTTGTTAATACCAGGTGGATGTTCTTCAATTTAGCTATATTTCCAGTCTGGCTCAGGATGAGATGCACAATACAGCTGTGTATTCAGGACGAGATGCACAATATAGCTGTGTATTCGGTCACCATTTTTTTTTTTTTTTACAACTTTGTGATCCTTGCTGTTAAAACCAGCCACAGTGACCTCCCTACAGCTCACAAATGTACAGGGAATGTTCCTTGCAGGCCCTCACCTGGAGCCTGCCACCCCTTCCCAGACTTCCTCAGTAAAGACCCAACTAACCAACCCTGGTTTCAACTTCCCCATAGCTGCTGTCACCTATCACAGCCATCCTAGTCCATTCTTTGTGGACTCTCCTCCACTAGAATGCCAGTTCCCAAGGAAAGGTGACTGTATTTGGGGCATCTGAAACAGTTGGACCCAATAGTATCCACAGCCTCAGTCTTTTTAAAAAAAATAAATCTTTACTCAGATTACAGTTGTTCCTCTTTTTCCCCCCATAGCACCCCTCCACCCAGTTCGCACCCCACCCTTTGCCCTTACCCCTCCCACTTTCCTCATCCATCGGTGTACGATTTTTGTCCAGTCTCTTCCCACACCCCCCACAGCCCTTTCACCCCTGAGAATTGTCAGTCCACTACCTTTCTATGCCCCTGATTCTATTATATTCACCAGTTTATTCTGTTCATCAGATTGTTTATTCACTTGATATTTAGATTCACTTGTTGATAGATATGTATTTCTTGTTCATAATTTTTTATCTTTACCTTTTTCTTCTTCCTCTTCTTAAAGAATACCTTTCAGCATTTCATAGAATACTGGTTTGGTGGTGATGAACTTCTTTAGCTTTTTCTTATCAGTGAAGCTCTTTATATGACCTTCAATTCTGAATGATAGCTTTGCTGGATAAAGTAATCTTGGTTGTAGGTTCTTGGTATTCATCACTTTGAATATTTCTTGCCACTCCCTTCTGGTCTGCATAGTTTCTGTTGAGAAATCAGCTGACAGTCGTATGGGTACTCCCTTGTAGGTAACTGACTTTTTTTCTCTTGCTGCTTTTAAGATTCTCTCCCTGTCTTTTGCCCTTGGCATTTTAATTATGATGTGTCTTGGTGTGGACCTCTTTGGATTCCTTTTGTTTGGGGTTCTCTGCACTTCCCGGACTTGTAAGTCTATTTCTTTCACCAGGTAGGGGAAGTTTTCTGTCTTTATTTCTTCAAATAGGTTTTCAATACCTTGCTCTCTTTATTCTCCTGGCACCCTGATAATTCGGATGTTGGTACGCTTGAAGTTGTCCCAGAAGGCTCCTTACATTATCTTCATATTTTTGGATTCTTTTTTTCTTTTTTCTTTTCTGGTTGGGTGTTTTTTACTTCTTCGTATTTCAAATCTTTGACTTGATTCTTGGGATCTTCTTGTCTGCTGTTGGATCTCTGTATTTTATTCTTTATTTCAGTCAGTGTATGCTTAATTTCTAGTTGGTTCTTTTTCATGTCTTCGAGGGTCTTATTAAATTTATCGGCGGTTTCTAGAAAATTCTTGAAAAACCTTATAACCGTGGTTTTGAACTCTATATCCAGTCATTTGCTTTCCTCCATTTCTGTCATTTGTGATCTGTTTCTTTGTCTCCGCATTTTTTATGCTTCCCTGTGTTGATAGAGTGGCTTTGTGTGCTAGGTGTCCTATAGGGCCCAGTGGCTCAGCCTCCCCAATTACCTGAGGTGGACACTCTTGTTGCACCCCTTTGTGGGCTGTGTGCACAGTCTTGTTGTAGTTAAGCCTTGATTATTGTAGGTATCACTGGGAGGAATTGACCTCCAGGCCAATTGGCTGTGAGAATCAGCTGTGTCTACAGTGGGAGAACTTCTGTGCTGAAGACACCCTTATGGGGTGCTTCAGTGGGGCTTTGGTGCTCCCTTAGTGTATCCCTTATGGATCTGAGGAGTTGTAATCTGGATGGTCCCACTCTGACCACTGGGTACACAGGCTCTTGGATCACTAAGGAGGTGCTAATTTAGCCTCTGCCGGAGGCTACAAAGCGGGAGCTATGGAGAGATCTACAGGTTCCTCTTCCTTGTTTGGGTTTTGGAGGTGCCCAGATGAGGCCCAGCTGTGAAGCAATGCAAGCTGCTGTGGGGCCTTGGGCCTTCTTTTGGATGTTCTGGGTCTTTCTGACCCAGCTGCAGTTTGTTAGGTAATTTTAGATCTCAAAGGGCTAGCCCATTCATATGCAAAAGCCTCTGCCACAGCTTGGGTGGGGTGGGGTCTCAGGGAATAACGGGGCGGAGCAAACAGCTATGGCTGCTCCTCAGTCCTGCCCTAAGAGGTCCCGGGTCTCAGTGTCCTGGTAATCGCTGCAAGTAGCTCTGAGTGAAAGCCGCCCTCGAGTTCGGGCCGCTGCCAGACAGTCCAGTTTCTCCCCATGAGAGTCTGGGTCCCCAGAGACTCACCCAGAACTGGAGTCAGGACTGTAGGGAGCTTGTGCCTCCCTCTCGATTGCAAAAGACACCGGCGTCCTCCATTGCCAGCACCTTTCCGTGCGTGCTCGAGCCTCCATACCTCTGCACTTTACTTCCGCACCTCCTCTGAGTCTCAGTGTGCTTTTGTCTTTCCTTCTAGTTGTAGAATTTCCACTCAGCCAGCCTTCCTGTGGTTCTGGATGATGTCTGTTTTGTCTTTTAGTTGTATTTTTGAAGTGGTTGTGCGAGACAGCAATTTCAGGTGTTTACCTATGCCACCATCTTGGTTTCTCTCCACAGCCTCAGTCTTTTTATGTGTCCCTTATGCCCACACATGGCTGCTGACCTTTCATTCAGCCTTGATTCAAGTTCTCATCACTACAGCCTTCCCTCAGCCCACCCACTCAAGGAACCTGGCCCATGAGCTGGCAGAAACACAGGCACCCAACCTCTCTGCCCCCTCAACCACAAACCCCAGCAGCACACTATTCCCAAGAATCCAGGAACTATTACCTCATTTCAGGTTTTCCACTTAGGGATGGGGTACACCAACCACACCTGATCCTCTGAATGTGGAATTACATTGAGACCAAGCTTCTTCTGGAAACACCTGTATTGCAGAATTTTATCAACATTGAAAATACACAACATCATATCCTGGAGAATCAGGGTTACCTCCAGGACTGGCTGGGTGAGGGGGTGGGGGAGAGGCATGCTTCATTTTTAATACAATGAAAGTGCAAAATAATACCTAAAATGAAGAAAAGAGACTCAAACACCAGTGGGTCTCAGGGGTGTGAGTGGCTTAGCTGGAGGCAGGATTTTTTAAAGGTGAACTAATTTGGGGGCCCAAAGCATCAGGCGGCTCCTCCAAGATACAAAACTAGGTTCATTTGCAGAGGGCCAGGTGCCTGGGGGAAGGGGAAAGAGCAGGCTGGAGGGACCTCTGGATGGAGACAAAAGAGCCCTGGACATCACCTCTCAGGCAGACACAGAACCCAAATCCCTTCCAGGGGCTTGCCTTGGGCTCCTCTCTACCAAACCCTGGGAAGGACACAGCGTGCCCAGCTGCAGTGGGAACATCCCAGGCAAAAGCAGGAAAAAGTGAGGAAAGTTGAGTTGTGCAGGCAGAGGCCCCTCCTCAGGGCACTGGGGTGAATGTTTGAGTTTAATTGGTAATCCTCATTTGAGGATATATTCCCACTGATTTTTAGTGAGCACAAGGGAAGGGGGTGAGGAACAGAGAGGTTGAGACAGAGAGATCAATGTGAGAGAGAAGAAAAAATTAGATGCCTTCTACATAGCCCCATAGGGGCCAGGATCAAACCTATAAATTAGAACTACCAAATCATGCAGTCTTTCAAGGCCCTGGGTAGCAATGCACTATATGCCAGTACTGGTTAAAGAGTGATTTGCTGTCCCTCCTAAAACACAGAAATGTTGGTATCCAAACAATATCTGATAACTCTACATGATGATCATCACAATTGTGCTTGAAAATCATCCCTGGAAGTGAATATAACCAAAAAAATTAAAGGTACAAAAGAAAAAACACCTTTACTAAAAGATCGTAAACCAGAATAGGACAGAAAGCGGTTGACAGCTTTAATTAGAACCTGAAACAATTCATCACAGCATAATTTGAGAACCACATGTCCCTGAAAGAGGTAGCACTTCTTTTTTTTTTTTTTTTAATATATTTTTATTGATTTCAGAGAGGAAGGGAGAGGGAAATGGAAACATCAATGAGAGAGAATCACTGTGTGGCTGAGGCAGCATTTCTTAGCTGAGGATGGGTGCCCTGGAAGAACCCCTGGTCAGGTCCATTCCCTCGTCAGAGAGAAAGGAATGAAGATCCTGTCAAGAGCTGGAGTAATCATAATTTTCTCAAGCACACGTGACACGTGAGAACAGAATACATTTAACTTGAGAATGCAGGGGTTGGGACTGATACACACTCTTCAGGTGAGCCAGGTGAAATCTCTTCAACCAAAAATCAATCGGGCTTTAGATCTGGGCATGTTAGCAAGTGCAATGCAGCTCCTTCAAGCCTCACTTGTACCAGAAACTTAGCAGGAATCTAGAAGAGTGTATTTCCCATTAAAAGGGATTTTAATTCAGGAAAACAGGTCTTAAAGAGTATCCTTCAGTGTTGTTATTCTAAGTGAGAAAAATAAAACATTCCCTGCATGTTTAACATTTCTCTCCAGTGTGAACTCTTTTGAGGTGTGCAGTGAGGTGAGCACTTTGACGAAAGGACATCCCACATTGTCTACATTCATACGGCTTTTCTCCAGTATGAACTCTCTGGTGTTGTTTGAGATGAGACTTATAACTGAAGGACTTCCCACAATCACTACACTGATATGGCTTCTCTCCAGTGTGACCTCTCAAATGATGAATAAGGCTAGAGTTTTGCCTAAAAGACTTGCCACATTCAGTACACTCATATGGCTTCTCTCCAGTGTGAACTCTGAGGTGTACAGTGAGGTGATCACTTCGACGAAAGGACATACCACATTCTCTACACTCATACGGCTTTTCTCCAGTGTGAACTCTATGGTGTTTAATGAGTTTAGTTTTTTCACTGAAGAACTTTCCACAATCAGTACACTCATAGGGCTTTTCTCCTGTGTGAACTCTCTGGTGTTTAATGAGTTTAGTTTTTGCACTGAAAAACTTTCCACAATTGGTACACTCATAGGGCTTTTCTCCAGTGTGAACTCTGTGGTGTTGTTTGAGGTAAGACTTATCACTAAAAAACTTTCCACAATCACTGCACTCATATGGCTTTTCTCCAGTGTGAACTCTCTGGTGTTTAATGAGTGTAGTTCTTATACTGAAGAACTTACCACATTCAGTACACTCATATGGCTTCTCTCCAGTGTGAACTCTGAGGTGTGCAGTGAGTTGAGCACTTTGACGAAAGGACATCCCACATTGTCTACACTCATAGGGCTTCTCTCCAGTGTGAACTCTGAGGTGGTAAGTGAGGTGAGCCCTTAGACGAAATGACATCCCACATTCTCTACACTCATACGGCTTTTCTCCAGTGTGAACTCTATAGTGGTTAATGAGTGTAGCCCTTTCTCTGAAGAACTTCCCACATTCATTACACTCATATGGCTTCTCTCCAGTGTGAACTCTGATATGTGCAGTGAGTTGGGCCCTTTGACGAAAGGACCTCCCACATTGTATACACTCATAGGGTTTTTCTCCAGTGTGAACTCTGAGGTGTACAGTGAGCTGACCTCTTCGACGAAAGGACATCCCACATTCTCTACACTCATACGGCTTTTCTCCAGTGTGAACTCTATGGTGTCTAATGAGGTAAGCCCTTCGACGAAAGGACATACCACATTCTCTACACTCATATGGCTTTTCTACAGTGTGAACTTTGTCATGTTGATTGAGGTTAAACTTATGTCTGAAAGATTTCCAACAATCACTATACTCATACAGCTTTTCTCCAGTGTGAACTCTCTTATGTCGAATGAGGTTAAAGTTTTGTCTAAACACTTTCCTACATTTGTTACACTCATAAATCAGTTCTCCAGAAGAGACACCCTCACATTGAACAACATTCCAGTTGTCGCTGCCAACATTTTCACATTCACCCCACTGGTGATGACTTTTTCCATCAAGAAATTCCTGTGAAATCTCACTGCCGCAATGCAGCTCCTCAGTGTTGAGAGTGACCTGGTGCTGGGGAAGCTCTGAGTTGTATCGCAAGTCTTTCCCAACCTCTCTGCTGGTTGAAGGCACCGAAGATAAGGAGAAGCTGCACCTGCTCACAAAGGAGGCCCCGTCCATAGCTTCTTTCCAGGGCTCCTCCCTGCATTCATTCCGCTGTTGCTGGTGAGGGTTTCCACTGAAACAGAAGTCTCCAACACATGCGTCACTAATGAAGGCTTTCTGCTCAAAGTGTGCTGCATGTGACTCAGTCAGGTGCAAAATATCTTTCAACACAGAGAAACACCGCTTACACAGATGGGTCTTCTGAGTGGCTGGAGCTGTCTTAGAAGCCCTGACCTGTGACTCTCCTTGTATAAATACACTCTGCTCAGAACAGGCCTCCTTATCATCCATTTTATGCCGACAACCTGAAAAGTGAGAAATGGTGAGGAAATAAATGTTGACTGTGGCGACAGGGGGGAAGTCTCAGTGCAAAAGTGTGTTGCACATCACATGTTGGTCCCATTAAAATGTCTGAAAATAACAGATGTGCAGGAAGGATTAAAAAGAGGCTCTTGTGACTTTCTGGGTTAATAAAGATCACAAAACAGGGAGGCCTCCCCAGAAATATGACACAAACATGGCAAGCACCACATGGAGGAGAATATGGATCTCTAACTAATCCTTCAACTGACAGCATTCAGCATGGCTTGTCTTTTGGACATGGAGGCGAGCTCTGGGAGAGGTTGGTTAGGTCTTACGCCAAGTAAAACTCAATAAAAAAGTAGCTGGTTTCATGGACTACTTAGCATGTAGGAGCACCTCGTAACACATGTGCAAGTCAATGTTGCAGAATACTGCAGAGGCAGCAGTGCAGAGGAACAGGTGAAGAGGTGAGCAGTCAGCACTGGGCCAGAGCAACACAGCTTGCTACAGTATTCAGGGAATAGTAAATTACAAACAATTGAACGAGGGACTTACAAAAACAGCCCATGGTTCATGTAAGTAAAGACCATAACATGGCACAGGCTGCCACAAAGAACACTTACCAAGAGAAAGAGTGCAGAAGTTGAGGCCATGCATGTGGACAGTCAGCCTCCTATGAAGAGAAACTACAAGCTGGGACCCATTAAGCTCACTGCAAGACTCCTGACTCCCTGAGACTTCCTGCACTTTTTGAGGTAAGAGGTGTTAGGAATGTTCGTAGAGTCCTTTGCTCAGGACTCTCTATAGAGCTAATGCCTGGCAACCACTGCACATTTGACGGGACAGTGGGGGAAGTTAGCAGAGGCCATGTTCTGACTGTGGGAGAGAAAAGGCTATGCCTGAGGAGTAAAGGAAGAGACGTCATCACCTCTGGATAGTGGGAAAAAGTGAAGGACTTACCTACAGATGACACAAGTGCAAACACTTCCAGCATCACATCGCAGTACAGATGTCTCTGAGCCTCCTCAAGGAGCCCCCACTCCTCCTGAGAGAAGGCAATGGCTACATCCTCAAAGTTCATATCCTGTCATAATGGGAACAGTACAAGCCATGATCAGATTCACTCCTAAGATTCTAAGTCTGCCATAGTCCCCACCCTCCACATCTATCTGCTCTCTCCATTCAACACATCAGAGAAAATACCAGGCCTTCATCCCATGAAAGCCACTTTCTTCTTATATTCCTGCTGATATTGTGTCTTACCACAATAATAAAGGCAATTGAGCAGATGGAAGATACCTGAATTCTGGACCTCTCATGTGAGCCACACTGACTCTAATCAATAGAGTGGGTGTCAAAAACATAGGTTGCTCAAGCAGGTATGGCTCAGTGGATAGATTGTCGCACTGCGGACTGAAGGGTCCCAGGTTCAATACTTGTTACGGGCACATGTCCAGTTGCAGGCCTAATCCCCAGTAGAGCATGTGCAAGAAGCAGCTGATCAATGATTCACTCTCATCATTGATATTTCAATCACTCGCTCCCTCTCCCCTTTTCTCTGAAATCAATAAAAAGATGTTTAAGAAAAATAGGTTAAAGAGAGATGCTGGCCATAAAGAGTGATTAAGTGATATGATACTGGTCTTGTCAGGCAATACCTTGTAGTACCTTATATTGTTTCTCAAAGACACCAAATACACGACATCACAGTTCACCCTCTTGACCCCAATCCCAAGGTGCTGAGGCCATTGCTTTGCACTACCTGCTGCACATAGTTCTTTGAACAACACTTCTCTCACACAGCTTCATTCCCAGAGGCACAACTTCAAAGGTAATGCATATTTGATTTGGAGAAGACAAATTGGCTCCTAATCACCTTCTTTTCCAAAATTATAGTTCACTACCTCCATAATCCATTTATCCTGACCCTTAACCCGTACCCATGCCAGTGAAGATTTTGAAGCCTGGGTAACACTGATGTATGCTATCTCATTCCTATAAACCAGTGTGTCACCCCCAACAACAAAAGGCAGGTGGTTAGTTTAATGGCACCTAAGCTCTGTACCTAGAATGTAGCACCAAAAACACCCCTCTTTACAGGCAATTACCCTAAAATTCACCTTATTGGATCATCCAGACAACACCAGAGATGGACTCTCCCATCATTCACTCTTATGTCAGGGTGCTGTGGCCATGAATTCACATTCTCTCTCCAAGTACACATCACTCTTTACCACACCTCTCTCACACATGCACTCTCACAGCCCTAGACCCCATAGTCCTCTCCTTGTCCTCATACTTATTACTCAGTATGTGTTGTCCAGAGAATACTTGCCAAAATGTCCACTTAATCGTCCCAGCAACGATTGCCCTCTACACATACCCACGGAATCTCACAAATGACCACTCATGCCTTTAAGCTAATCCACAATACTGAATGTAACTCCCCACATATAGGCCACACCAAGAGTCACAACAAAATCCTGGTGAGTGTTTAGAGAAGTTAATATGTACCAGCCCTAGTCTCATGTTGTTTGAAAAAATCTTCAGCCTCCAATTGATCTCAAGTCCACTCATCTTTTAAAGGCATTGACCTCTGCAAAACGATTATCTCTCCCTGACACTCTACATGACAACTTCTGTTCCTATGCTGTGTTGTGACAGCCACCTCCCACAAACAGTGGCCCCAGCAGGAAAGGTAGTCCTTAGGCTCACACTGTCCCTTCTGAGCTTCTACTACCATTACCAAACTGACCATGACTTCCTATATTAAATAATCTACAGTCTTGGCTGATGGAGAGCATAGACCCCTGCACTGATGCAGTCACATGCCTGGCTTGTGGGCTGGATTTACAGTAGGAGTTGTGCAGGCATCAAATGATCCCTGTTTCTTGCTCATCAGTGTTTCTCTGTCTCTATCCCTCTTCCTTCCTTAATACATACACACATACACACACACACACACACACTAGAGGGTTGGTGCACGAATTCGTGCACTGGTGGGGGATGTGGTCTGCGGGGATCAGCCCACTGTGGGAGCGCCACTCATCCCAGTCAGCTGAGCGTCTGTGGACCCGCCCTCAAAGCGGCTGCTCCCACTGTGGGAGCACACTGACCACCAGGGGCAGCTCCTGCATTGAGTGTCTACCCCCTGGTGGTCAGTGCACATCATAGTGACTGTTCAACCAGTCGTTCTGGTTGTCCCACCGTTTGGTCGCTGGGCTTTTATATATAGAGATAGATAGATATAGATATGTAGATATAGATATAGATATAGATATAGATAGACATAGATGATATAGATAGATATAGATGATATAGATATAGATATATCACACCTGCTGGTTCCTGAATCAGCTCACCCTTCATTCCAAGCCTTTGCACATCCTGGAGCAGCGGTTGCTAACCTTTTGGACCTCACGGACTACCTGTCATCCGCGGACCACCAGTTGCTGACCGCTGCCCTGGAAGACCTCCCACTCATCACACTGGTTGCCAAAAACAAGGTCCACTTTATGAAGCCCTGGTTGTGACCTTAGGATTCTGGGCTTAGTATCTCTTCAAAGCACCCAGGTCCAAGGGCTACAAGAGTGGCTGGACCATCCCAGGACACCACTATCTCAGAGGCCACAAGAGTGTGAGGCCCTGAAATAAGCTCCAGAAACCGGTACACCTAATTGATTCTGCATTTGCAGGAATTTGTGGAAAGAAAATGGTCTGTTGAGAGCCTGGCAACTGCCATCAGAATCTATGGGCTCAGGCTACTCAGTTCCCTAGCCCAGCCCTGAGGCCTGGTGACCTCAAGATGCCTCTATTATCTCAGGGCTCAGTCCTCAGTGCACACTCTTGCAGGTTACCTTATCATTTACAGGACTTCTCCTTCCTGTCCACAACTGCTGTCCTCTGTTTTCTAGTCTGTTCTTCCTCTGATTAATGTTAAAGTTAGAACCCTACCTCAGAAAATGTCCCTCTTTTTTTCACAACCATCTATTATTAGGTCTGATCAAATAATTGAATCAATACCCCTCCTCAGGGAACTGACCTTTTGGCCACTACACAATGGACATTCCACTTGCTTAGACCACATTCCACTTGCTAAGACCATTATCTCTCCCCTCTGGAAATTCCCAGAATCCAGACCTAAACAGAATTCTCCGCCCAGAGTCCTTTAAAAACCTCTGACTCCCTGTCTTTGGGTGCTGGTGCCATTTTGGGGCTCATCCCATCTGGTATCCAGATGACCTAATAAATTCATAATTCATCACCCTTTTTGGCCTCATGCATTCCTCCTTTAGCAACCTAAGATTTGGTGCTAAAACCGGAAGGGTTCTGTTCTATGGGAATAGGGAGCCATCGCCCCAGTTTCAGTCACCCTAAGTTTGCTACTCGTAGAGCAGCAGGCAGCAGCAGCTCAACCTGGTCTTACCTCCAAATCCTATGCCAGTGACTCGATTGCTGGCCTTGATTAGGCCTCCTGACCTTATGGACCCTCCAGAGCCAGCCAAGGAGGATGCTGGATCAGAACCCTCTGTTTCTCCATTGTTGTCCGTCCCTCCATCCCACACCAGCCAATCTTCTCTAGGTGAGTGACGTTCCACATTTTCCCTTGTCTCGAGTCTTCTGCCCACACTCTCTTACTAACTTCTCGAAAGTCTCTTGTCTCAAAAGTCCTAACGCTAGGCCAGAAGACTCCTCAGCCATATGGCTTTGGGTCCTTATGGATTGGGGATACCCAGTGCAGAGCGTCACTTCTCATGTCTCATGGTGATTGGTTTAGGAGTGGGGATGCCTGCCCTAAATAGTCACCTTTGGATTTATGGTCTGTCACTCACCCTTCCTCTCTCGTGGCCCACGCCCACTCCCTCTTTCACACTCACGGGGGAGATCATGCCCAACCACCTCATTTTCTTTTGTAACACTGTTTGGCCACAATATAAACTAGATGAATACGTCTCAATGGCCTAAAAATGGCACTTTTAATTTTAACGCATTGCACAATTTAGGTAATTGCTGTTATTGCAATGAAAAATGGAGAGATTCCCTATGCCCAGGCCTTTTTCACCCTTCAGTCCCAATTTTCTCAGTTATGTCCCACCCATCAGATCTTTCTCCTTCACACAAAACATCATGCCCCTAACACTTCTGATTCTGAATCTACTTTTGAACCAGCAGAACACCGCCCTCCATCCCCTTATACATCCCTTCCTTCACCTGCAATAGATTCCCAAAACCCAGATCCTCCTAACCAGCAACCACCTTCTCCCCCAGCCCCTAAGAGCCCAAAGCCCAAGTACTTGAGCTCCAATACAGCCTTTCCTCACCTAACACCTGCACTCAGGCCACACTAAGACTGCCTTCCTCAACAGCTGCTTCTATTCCATCACCCATTCTACCCCTGAGAGAAGGAGCAGGAACTGAGGGCATTGTCTGGGTACACATCCCATTTTCCAAGTCTGACCTCGCACAGATTGAGAGGCATCTCAGGTCTTTTTTTCACCAACCCAACCACCTTTACTAAGGAATTTAAGTACCTGACCCAGTTCTATGACCTGAACTGGCACAACATCTAAGTCATCCCGTTGTCCTCTCTCACCCCAGAGAAGGAGCACGTCTGACTAGCAGCTCAGGACCATGCTGTGCCCTCATAGACAGGATTCAGTGGCCAACCCAGTTGGTGCTAATGCGGTCCCCCGAACTGACCCAAGATGGGACTCCAGTGTGCAGGCTCTGTAGCCTGTCTCATTGTTGGACTCAAAAAAGGCTGCTGATAAGGCGGTCAATTATGTCAAACTTAATGAAATCACTCAGGGCCTTGTCAAAAACCTAGCTCTCTTCCTCTCCTGCCTCAAGGAAGCCTTACACAAATTTACCACCTTAGAGCCCACCTCCCCAGAGGGAGCCCTTCTTCTGAACACCTATTTACTATCTCAATCAGCCCTCAACATACACCATAAACTTCAAAAAGTAAACACAAGTCATCAAACCCCTCAAAAAGACCTTGTTAACCTGACCTTTAAGGTCTTTAATAATAGAGATGAGGAGACCCAAATCCAAAAACAAAGGTGAGATTAGGCCAAGGCTGAAGCTCAGATGAAGGTCTTTCAGCTCCTAGCCACCGCTCTCTAGAACCCCAAATGAAATGCCAGTCCTTCAACCAAGGGTAAGTCAGGGCTAAGCCTCTATCGGGCCCATGCTTCAAATGCAGCAAGGAAGACACTGAGCCAAGTCCAGCTCAAACCTGAGACCCCCGCCTGGGCCCTGCCCACAGTGCAGAAGGCCACTGGAAATCAGACTGAAATCTGGCCCCTCCAGATCAGACAACAACCAGTCCAGCAAGGCTGCCCTCTGGATCCACTTTGGAGCTCCCAGACCTCCTGGGAATGGCCACCAAAGACTGAAGCTGCCCAGGCCCTGAGAGGGCTCCACAGACTTAATTACATCAGCAGGACAGAGCCTCGGGTAATGAAGT